TTTTTTTTTTTTTTTTCCTCTCCCAGTTGCTCAGAATCCTACTGTCACTCACGTGGGATGGTTTTCCTAGGAAGCAGAATCTCGCGCTCAAGTTCAGTCCACAGGCCACCAGTACTGTTTGGTCATCCATGTACAACGTGCCCATTCGCTTTGATGAGGAGGCCAGCCTCCCATAACCCTTGAGAGCTGTGGACTTGTAGCTTGAGAGATTTCTCTATTGAGAAAGGAACCATGTTCCAGGGCAGGCTTTGCCCAGCCCCACCCAAAGCCTCAAGCCTCAAAGATGAAGTTTAAGCTCTGTCGTGAGATAGGTAGAAGGTAGGGAAGCACAAGGGCACAGGCAGAGAGGGACAGAAGGCTAGTTGGGGCTCAGGACAGTTGAGGTGAATGGACTAGGGCAGACTTGGTGAGTTTCAGCAAGCAAAGCAGGGTTGGCAAACCACTTCCTGCTTTTGTAAATAGTTTTACCTACACACAGCCACCCCCTTCACCTGTGTGTGGCTGCTCTCACACTACAACAGCAGGCCTGAAGAGTAGGTGTAATAGAGATATTATGACCCACAAAGCTCAAAATAACTCTTTACTATCTGGCTTTCAGAGAAAATGCTCAGCATCATGAGACAGAGGACTCCTCATGTGCCAGGAAACAGGTGAGAAAGTAGTGAGTGAGATGGATTTGTATAAGAAACATCGTGTCAGGGACACATCGGGGAGGGGTGAGGACTGTGGCAAACTGGAGAACTCATGGCCCAGCCAAAGAGGGCAGCTCATCAGCCATCAGAATTGCCAGGGCTTACAATCTCTAAGACACACTGGAAATCTAGATGTTCCCGTGAACAAGAAAAGCATTAGAGGGTACGCACGTGGACTCAGATCCCAACCCACCACTTCCTTACTAGGTGACTTTGCACAACTGTTTCAGACTCTGTAACCTGGAGGGAGTAACAGCACTAGCTTGATAGCACTGGGATGATCATGAAACAAGCTGCCATCCTACAGCCCCAGAACAATGTTATGCACAGACTAAGTGTAGGCTAAATGTTTCCTAAATCAATCTGGCCATTGAAAACACTGTGGCCCCAGCGGTGGACAGACCAAAGAAAACATGGACGTTCTGCTTTCTGGCTGCGGGTCATGGGTTTGCTTTTGCTAGCAGAGTCATGAATTTGGAAGTCAGAGGGACTGGCTGAAGCCCACTTAGCCCAGTTAGGTGACCTTGGGCAAGGGAGCTGCCCAGAGGCCCTGGGTTCCTGTCTATAGCACTAGGCCAGGGTCATTGTAAGGATTTAGGGTAAGTGTTCCAAAAGGACACTGGAAGAGCTTACCTGCCCCTGCCCTCAGCTCCCCGCTGTAGAGGAGGCCCACCCCTTGCCCCTCCCCCTGAAGTCATGGGGAAGGGGATGGAGTTCAGATTCTTCAGTTAACTGTCACCTTGTCTCCTCCCCCCTCACCACACACACCAGCTAGGACAGGGAAGCTCCTTGAAGCTCCGTCAGAGACCCAAGGCCATCAGGTGCTACACAAAGCTGCTTCTCTCTGTCACCATGGATCCAGACCCTGGGCTTCACCAGGCCGGCCACATTCTTCTGGGGGGAGTGTCTGAGCAAGGATACTGCCTGGGCCAGGGGTGGGGGTAGGGAGGAAACTGGGGTGGGGGAGGAACAGATTACTGGGCTGGTGTATCTCTGGGAAGGGATTCAGCCTCCTCTGAGAGGCAGCTCCTCCCTGTACTTCACTTCAAAGCCCTCAGGCCCTGGGGCCTTGGGGGATGGGTAGATCAAGGGGTATAATGTGTGGGAGTGCCAGGTGGCAGAGCTCAGGAGCCAGGGTCCAGAAATGAGAACTCAAGAGGGTCCCCCTCCAGAGCCCCAGTAACCCCCTTCTCCCCACCCACCCAGTTGACAGACATTGCTGTGTCCTTGACCCCATGGACCCGCTGAGGCAGTCCGCCTCCCCCTGCTCATCAAGACCCTCCAGCCCCAAGACCCCACCCTGCGAGATGCTTGGTTATGTGGGCATTGAGGCCGTGCTGGACCAACTGAAGATCAAGGCCATGAAGATGGGGTTTGAGTTCAACATCATGGTGGTGGGTGAGTGAGGGGCAGGGGCTCACGGGAGGACAGACCAAAGGATGCAGACTTGTGGGCGTGGGCGCGTTACTTCACCTCTCTGAGCCTCAGTCTCAACAGTGGGTCTGTTAATAGTCCCTCGCCAGATGTCATAGTTTAAAATCTGGAAACACTGAGGCATTAAAAGACAAAAATCATCCATGAAGCCCCAGCCAAACCCAAAGAGAGCAATAAAAGGGGAGGCCATGGCAGAAAGTGGTGAACACCCAGACCCAGATCCTGATCCGGGCCCTTAACACCAGCCAACGTGTGACCTTGAGCACAGTCCCTGACCCCTCTCTGCCTCAGTTTCCTCACTGGGTTTAGCACTGTCCTGGCGTTCAGGAGGTTCTCTGGAATTGCATTTATATGGGTGCAAAATTGATTCTGTAGGTCAAAACTACACCTTTCACAAAATAAACTGGGTAATAGCAGACTATAAAATGTCAGAGTGGGCAACACCAATTAAGGGCATTGTTCCAAGGCAGTGCTGTCCAATAGAAGTATAATGTGAGCCACATGATGTCATTGTAAAAATTCCCAGTAGCCACCTTTAAAAAAGGGAAGAGAAACTGGAGAAATTAATTTTAACCATTTATGTTACTTAACTCAGTATGTACTATCTTGAATGACATGTAATCCACACCCAAAAAAAATTGTCCATGAGAACTTTTGCATTCCTGGGGCATCTGGGTGGCACAGTCGGTTAAGTGTCTGACTCTTGATCTTGGCTCAGGTCACGGTCTTACAGTTTGCGAGTTCGAGTCCCAAATCGGGTTCTGCACTGAGGGCGCAGAGCCTGCTTAGGATTCTGTCTCTCCTTCTCTCTGCCCCTCCCCCACTTGTGTGTGCTCTCTTTCTCTCTCAAGGTAAATAAACTTTTTTTGAAAGTTTAAAAAAAAGAACTTTTGCGTTCTTTTTGGCACACACCAAGTCTGGAAAATCTGGGTTGTATTTTCCATTGATGGCATACCTCAATTCAGATTTTCCATATCACCCATGGCAGGAGCCAAGTGGGACTCCCATATTGGACAGCACAACCCTTCGGACAATTTTTGTTCAATACAAAAATACGTGTGCACCCTGCGTTGTGATGTAGGGTGTCCCCTTCTGCAGATGTGGTCCACCGAGTTTGAGAAGCTCCCACGGCAGGGAAAGTGGACCATCTACAACCACAGACAGTTTGGGTCAATCTCACCAAGTAGTGTCAAGCCAAAGAAGCCAGACACAAGAGACCACATGCTGTGTGCTTCCCTAAATCAAGAGTGGGCAGAGCTGCTCCCTGCTGATGGAAGCCCGGAGAGTGGCTGTCCCTGGAGTGTTGGGTTAATAGTTCCTGAGATGGGCATGATTGGGCTTGTGGGGAACTATATGCTCCATCTCTGGATCTGGTTCTGTATGCATGGGCCATTTAATTTGTAAGATACATTGAACTGCCCATCAGGGTGAATGGATAAACACAATGTGATCTCTCCATGCAATGGCACATTATTCAGCCATGAAAAAGAATGAAGTATTGACACCTGGTAGGACTTGGATGAACCTTGAAACCATTATGCTTAGTGGAAGCAGCCAGACATGAAAGGACAAATATTGCATGATTCCATTTCTTAAAAAAAATTTTTAATGCATATTCATTTTTGAGAGAGAGAGAGAGAGAATGAGCTGGGGAGGGGCAGAGAGAGAAAGAGACACAGAATCTGGAGCAGGCTCCAGGCTCCGTGCTGTCAGCACAGAACCCAACAAGGGGCTCGAACTCACGCACCGCAAGATCATGACCTGAACCAAAGTCGGACACTTAACCAACTGAGCCACCCAGGTGCCCCATGCATGATTCCATTTCTTTGAAATGTCCAGAGTAGGCAAATCCACAGAGACACAAAAAAATGGATTAGCAGTTGCCAGAGGTGATGATGGAGGGAAAATGGGGAGGGGTTGCTAATGAGTGTGAGGTTTCTTTTGGGGCAATGAGCATGTTTCTTGACGGTTAAAAAAACAACGTTCAGCCAAGTACATTTGAAGATCTAATTGTGACATGATTCATGAATCAGGCAGCACCTGGTCAGCAGGTAAGAAGTGAGCTCCAAGGAGTTGTGCAGAATGCAAGGTTTCTATATAGAAAGGAGGATGTGAGCAAGGAAGTTATTAGCAAAAGGAAAGGATTATTACAGGCAGGGTTTCTTTCCCTTAGAGGACAGGCAAAGGGTCTTAGGTGGATGACTTCATCTTCCTTTGGGGGACAGTGAGGGCCCATGTGACATGACTCACCGGTGCTGACCAGAAAATCCCTGACGGACCAGTTTAGGCTACGTTTCCGGGGGAGGTTGGAACTGCAGTTAAGTTAGATATTAGGCACCCATTTGGAGACTTGGCCTAAGTTCTGCCATTTGCGGCCTGTGGATTTCTTTCTAATAGGAGCTACACAGAATTGGTGGGTACACAACACTGTGAATGTACTAAATGCCACTGAATTGTTCACTTTAAATGGCTAATGGTTAATTTTTTTACTGCATGAATTTTGCCTCAATAAAAATGGGTGGGATAAAGATTCAGGGGGACACCGACGATAGCACCCGCTTTTCAGTATTTATGTTATGCTTAGAAAACAGTTCACTTTCTAAAACTGTTTAACAGCCTGAGAAGCACTGCCTAAAATGTCCACCTCTGTTGCTGTCATCTGGTTACCCCCAGGGCAGAGCGGGCTGGGCAAGTCCACAATGTTGAACACCCTTTTCAAGTCCAAGGTGTGGAAGTGCACCCTGCCGGGCCTGGCGATGCCCACACCCCAGACGCTGCAGCTGAAGTCAGTGACCCATGGTGAGTGGTCCACCACCTTCACCCCACCCACCCCACCCCACCCCACCCAGGCCAATCTCTTCCTACTCCACTCTCCACGCACAGTCATCGAGGAGAAGGGTGTGAAGCTCAAGCTGACAGTGACTGACACGCCTGGCTTTGGAGACCAGATCAACAATGACAAATGGTGGGTCCTTGACAGTGGGGGCCGAACCCTGGTTGCCCCTGCCCCTGCCCCTCCAGCCCCTGGGAAACATCCCAGCCCTGAAACACCTGACTGTGGCATCTTGGAGCCTCAGTCTATTCATCTGTATAATGGGTGCATGCAACCAGCCCTCCAAGATTGAAGGGAGTCAAGTACATAAAGGTCAGAGCTTCCTGCCTGGCACACAGTAGGTGTTCAGTCAAGGTTATGATATAGCAGAAGTTAGAAGCCCACACTACAGAGTCAGGACCACAGAGTTAGACCACTTTCCAGTTAGGTAACCTGGGACTGGTCATGGAAGCTCTCTGAGCCTCAGTTTCCTTCTTTGTAACTTGAGGGTGATGACACCCACCTTGCAGAGTTGTTCTAGGCTCTCAGTGACAAAACCCACGACAGTAGTTGGTCACACACACACACACACACACACACACACATGCACACACACAATCAGGACTGGATGCATAATTTGTGGGACCCAGTGACATGAAAATGTGGGACCCATTGTTCAAAAAGTATTACGAATTGTAAAACCTTGACCACAGGACATTGAATGAACTGCAAGCCCTTCAAAGCACGGAGCTCTGTGGAAATGGTCTGTTTGTGCTTGTATGAAGCCAGCCCTGCATACAATGCTTCATTGAGCACTTGCTTCGTGCCAGCCCTGTTCTAGACATGGGGATACAACAATGAACAAAACAGATGAACACCTCTGCCTACGTGAAATTTACATTGTCATGGGAAGGGGGGCTGAGCAATGAACACAACAAATCAGTTATACATAAGGTGGTCCTAAACTCTATCATTCAAGGAGGACATTTCTGAGAAGGGAAAGCATAGGGAGCTGTAGAGGGATTGCAACTTTAAGCAGAGTGATCATGAAAGACCTCCCGGATAAGGTGACACTTGGGTGGATTTCCAGGATATGAGAAAATGAGCATTGTGGACATGCAGGGGAAGAGTGTTCAAAGTGGATAGTGGCATGTGCCAAGGCCCTGCGGTGGGCAGAATGGTATGTTCATGGAAAGCTGGTGTGGCTGGAGGTGTGTGCATGGTAGGGAGAAACGAGGAGGGGAGGGCAGGCAGAAGAAACAGTGATATGCTGTAGGGCCTGGTAGGGCAGTGTAAGGACTTAGGCTTTTCTGTGGCCACTGTGGGCAGGCTGAGCAGAAAAGGGATGTACTCTGACTCCTGTTTTTAAAAGGATCTTAAAAAAAAAGGGGGGTGGATGAGTCCTTTTGGCTGCTTGGTTGACAATAGCCTGGCAGGGGAAGGGACCCAGGGAGAGGACTCAGGAGATCCTTGCAGCAATGGCGTGAGTGCCCACGGTGGTTGGAACCCGGCTGTGGCGATTCATCTCTTTTAAGACCACGCCCCAACAAAGTAGGTGCTCTTATTCTCTCCATTTTATGAACGAGGAAGCCAAGGCCTCAGCTTGAGAACGGCAGGGGTCTCACTGATAATTCAGGGGAGCGGGGGGAGGGTGATCAGGTAACCACAGGTCTCAGCTCGTACAGGAACGGAGGTCCTGTGTCCTGGGCCAACTGGGGCAATTGGTCTTCCGAAGGGGAGACCACCCAGAGGACCTGGGGAGATGGGTGGGGCTCCCAGGGGCGGCTCTGAGGTCGGGTCCGTCTGCCACCCCAGCTGGAACCCCATCCTGGGCTACATTAATGAACAGTACGAGCGGTACCTGCAGGAGGAGATCCTCATCACCCGCCAGCGCCACATCCCCGACACGCGGGTGCACTGCTGTGTGTACTTCGTGCCGCCTACTGGGCACTGGTAAAGGGCTGAGCCAGCTGGGGGAGGGACCCTGGCCTGGGGCAGAGAGGAGGAGGAGGAGGAGTCCCTGGCCTGGGCTGCAGGCCGGCACCCCCTCACTCATCCACTGCCACTGCCTCCACTGTTGCTGCCCTGCCTGAGCAGCCTGCGGCCTCTGGACATTGAGTTCCTACAGCGGCTGTGCCGGACCGTGAACGTGGTGCCTGTGATTGCCCGGGCCGACAGCCTGACCCTTGAGGAGCGAGAGGCCTTCAGGCGCAGGGTGATCTGGGCGCCCGGGGTGATGGGGCCGGTGGGGGCAAGGAGGAGGCCAAGTGCAGAGGATGAGATGAGGTCACCTGCGTCCCCAGATCCAGCACAACCTGAGGACTCACTGCATCGAGGTGTACCCACAGAAATGCTTTGACGAGGATATCAATGACAGGATCCTCAACAGCAAGATTCGGGTAGGAGGCCACGGGGTGGGGGTGGGGGGCAGGCTGGTGTGACCACGGCTGGGCGATTTGCTTTCCACCTGCTCTTTCTGTCTAAAGATTCATCTCCCTCTACAGCTTGGGGAAAGTTCACATACTTCTGGCAGGTATGAATCTCCATACATACATAAACTCAAACATCAACAACCTACAGAAATGGGAGGGAGAAAAGGCTTGCAAATGGTTTATCTGATATGGGTCTTGTATCCTGAACATAATAAAGAACCCTTACAAATTTAGAAATGGGCAAAGGTTTTGAATGACATTCCCTCAAAGAATTTGGACAAGAGGACGATGAGCCCACAAAAAGATGTTGGTTCGACATCACCAGTCATCAGGGAAATGCAAAGCAAAACCACGAGGTACCGATTCATACCCACTAGGGTGGCTGTTTGCAAAATGCCAGACAATCCCAAGTGTTGGTGAGGATGTGGAGAAGTTGAACTGGCAGGCAGATGCTGCTGACGGGAATGTCAAACAGTGCTCCCACTTTGGAAAATAGTCTAGCAGTTCCTCAAAAGGTTAAACGCTGAGTTACCATGGTACCCAGCAGCAAGCCCACTCCCAAGAGAAATGAAAACCTATGTTCACATAAAAACGTGTACACAGATGTTCATGGCAGAAATACGTGTAATAGCCAAGGAGTGGAAATAAGCCAAATGTCTATTCACTTATGAATGACTAAATAAATACACGTGGTCTGTCTACACAATGGAGTGTCCTCCAGGTATAAAAACGGATGGATGTAGCACTGACACCTGCTGCAACACGGATGAACCTTGAAAACATGAAGCGCCTGGGTGGCTCAGTCGGTTGAGCGTCCGGCTTTGGCTCAGGTCATGATCTTATGGTTTGTGAGTTCGAGCCCTGCATTGGGCTCTGTGCTGACGGCTCGGAGCCTGGAGCCTGCTCTGCATTCTGTGTCTTCCCCTGTCTCTGTTCCTCCCTACTCATGCTCTGTCTCTCTCTCTTCCTCTC